TGTGTTTGAGTCCAGTGGTGACTCTAGAGCTGTTGCTCTTCATCTTCGATCTCTGAAGCTTCTGGTCTGGCACCTTTGTCTTACTTGGACATTGGTCTTTCCACATTTCATCAGAAATCAAGCTGTGTTTTTGGTGTTTCCTAACAACACCCACACAGTGCCTTGCCCTCGATGGGAGATTACGGACCAGGTAAATGAATAACTGGGAGGGTAAATGGAAGAGCAAGTCAGGAGCGGTTTTCCTGAATGTTAAGCTAACATTGAATTACTTCTTTATAATGATCAGAGTATTTTCCTCTCTTTTCAGAATCAGGTTTTGTTCTTTAGCCATCTAATTTCTTCTAAATTCTGGATATCTAGATTCCAGAATGTTCTGAGTAAAATAATCATGGCTCATTGCTGATAGACTTGGAGAGCACTGTACTGGGCAGCGGGTCCTCCCTCGTGCTCTTGGCAGAGACCACCCAGCATTCATGTCTAGACAGTGAGGCCTCAGACCCCATGTCCCTGGTTCCAAAGCAGGTCTGAGTGACTGGGGTGATTGCTGCCATTTTTCACATAACGTCCTGGTTGTGCCCAATGGTCAGGGTCCCCAAAACCCACCAGGGAGCCAAGTCCGATGCAAGACGCAAAAGAGCCTTTATTCGAGCTAGCTGAGCTCCCCGTCCACCACACTCGCCGACGCAGTGGCAGGAGGCAGAGAAGAGAGAGGGCTCTGTGGGGAGAGGGGTTTTATAGGGGGGTTGGAGTAAGGGGAGGAAAGAGGACTGTGGGCCCTGCCGATTGGCCAGGCGCAAGTTGGGGTCTTGTTACACAGGATGTGGTCGTGTCTATGGCGCGCACTTCCCTTGATTATCATTGGTTAGTTTAAAGAAAATCCTAGGTGTGGTAGCAGAAGCTTGGGCTTCCGGGAAGAAGCTCCTTGCTGAGCACATGGCTAATGGCTGCTGCCCAAAAATGGAGGATCTGGGGCAAGATGGAGGGTGTAGCCCTCGCCCTTTCAGTCCTCCCAAACCCCTTCGCCTGGATTTATCGTTCTGATCGTATATATTTGATTATTTAAACAGGTTTCTTTCCGTTGTTCTTTCTTGGAGGCATTGTCTTCATACCTTTGGGAGGCGGAGGACTTACCTTTTCATTTTAATGCATCTGTTTTATTCCGACATTCCTTCTAAACCTGTCCCGCCCCCCCCCACACACACACAAAAATAAAATAAAAAAATAAAATAAACCTGTCCACACGCTTCTGTTCCTTCCCCTCTCAGGAGCTCAAGTGCACTTGCTCCTTTGTCAGCGGCTCTCTCTGAGGTCAGACGGTGAACTGCTGTGCTCTGGCGGCCCGTTTTCATGACTCTTTTCTTATTAAGTAAAATGAAAGAATTCCCCAAACCCTGCTGCCGCCTCTGAAAGCCTCTGACAAAGCTTGTTTGTTTCATCAGCCC